ATTTTGAGACCATTCATTCTGGGTGGGGCTCTTCATTGTTTGCATTCCAAAGTCAGTTTTGTCAGTATCTGCCCTCCCAGGAGTCTGGGAGAGACCCATATTCTTCTTTTGGTTTTTCTGCATTTGTGTAGATTTTTCTTTCTTGCCCCTTAGTGGATCAAGTTCCTGAGATCTAATCTCCAGTCTCTCTCCTCTGTTTCTGTTGCAGGCAGTTAGCTTGTTGCCTAAGAGTTCTGTGACACTAGTCTCTATTCAGCGTAGGGGAGGGGCTTTGTCTCCTGTTAATGACGTCACCATGGGATCTGAGGTAGGGGCTCGGATAGGTGGGCGGGGTGATGCAAAGTAAATATGCCTTGAAAATAGTGGAGGTGGTGGTTTTACTTTCACTTTTGGGGGCGCTCCTGTGGGTCTCTAGGCGGGACCAGTTGCACAGCTGGGCACTGGATCTGGGGTGCCTCCAGCCGGCTAGGGTGGAGGAGAGGGTCAGGGGTTCCCTCCTCTGGAGCTGGAAGCCTGCGATCGGCATCTTACGCCAGCTTGGGGTTCTGCCCCCTTACACAGGGTTGTGGTCGCGCACGCTGAGTGCCTCAGCCAGGGTGGGCCTGGGGTTTCTGATCTCCAAAGCTCCAGTGGGTAGGTGGTGGCTCTGGGTCCCTCCCAGAGCACTTTAGCCAGAAATGGGACTGGTATCTCTAAGGGGCGGGCACTCAGAGCCTTCCTGCATGAACAGCAGCTTTGTGCTGGTCGCGACGATGTGGCCGGGGATGGAGCTGGGATCTGGGATTTGGAATTCCCCATCCAGCCAGAATCACATATAGTGGGGCAGCCACAGTCCGGCCACAATGTCTGGCCCTGCTTGGGACCAAAAGTCCCTGAGCCTCATATCAGTGTGGCTGGAGGTGGGCGGGGGGGGTGCAGGAAGAAAAGTAATAGTCTTTTTGGGAAACTCATGTTCAGAGAATCTCAGGGATCCACCTATGTGGTCGCCATCTTCAGGTCGCCTCCTCTTTTCAGAAATAACTTTTAACGCACCATATCAATACACTGTTCTCTATCATTTCAATGCTGTGTATTTTAATTATTAAATAATTGTTAATTAAGATATTCTTCATACATTTGCTCTATACCAAGCAGACATTTTTCCTCTCATTTCCCAATCATGTAACATCTGTGAGGGCAGAGCCCATGTCTGGCATCTAGCAAAGTGCTTAGCACAGAAGGCCCTTAATAAATATTTACTGACTGAATGAAGAGTGTTTACTAGCATTCTCAATATCTCTATTTCAATGAGTTTTGAACAGAGATCAAGATTAGGAAAATAAAAAAGTTTGACTAACCACATCAAATATCAGCAAAGATTTATCAGAGTTCTAATAACATTTTATTTTGTTCTTATGAGTGTATATCTTAAATTTGGATCTTAAAAAAAATTCTAAATGGTTTAAAGAACTTATTGAAACTTGACTAACCTAGAAGTTTTTAAAATGGAAAAAATCAAATGATATATTATAAAAATAAGTGTTTTTTATAGTTTTGCATAGTAATATAGAGCAAATCAACACTATTTACAAGGTGCAAAGGAAAGGGAAGCTGGTATTGATTTGCATCTGAAGTCATATCCAACTTTTCTGAACATAATAATCTCAGATCAGAATAAAATAAATTTCAGAACTCAGTTTGAGAGAAAAGGAAAAACTTTAGTTAAAATCTTTACAATAAAATAATTATGATTATAAATCTCTTTAGTTAAATATGTACACATTACATGGCATTTTTAAAAAGAATGGAAATAAGGTTTTCAGGCAAATCAAATGCAAGAGCTTAATGTCAGTTTAACATTCTTTAACAGCTGTGTCAGACAATGGCTCTGCTTTGCGCAAAACATGATAAACAAAATAAGGAAAAATTCTGCAAAATTATTTAATTTCCCAAGGAAGTTACTAAAAAAAGGAAATGGCAAAAGAAACAAAGGTTGTCCATTTCAGCTTGATTGTATGCATAGGCTAGAATGACCTAGAATGACCAGCACTGGTGTAGCCCCGCATCTGTTGAATCAGTCCTTGGGTGGCTTTAGTCAGAAGTAAAAGTGAAGTCCTAGCTACTGTGCTTCTATGCAGCCACATGGCCAATAAGGTAGATGTTGTCATAAAGGTGCCCTACGAAATCCTCACTAATGTTTTGAGCAGCGCGACGGGTATTTCGAATGAACTCTCTTTTTGACATTTTATTCTTCACATGAGGGCTAGTGAGGTCAATGGAAAGTAGAATCAAAGAGTAGCACAGTACATAGACAGCATCTGGAAGGAAAAGGAAACATGTCAAGTTATTGGCTGGCTTAAAAAATACAATTCTGAAGACACTATATAAGGCAAACATGTCTGCCCATAATCTCAAGAGACCAAGATTAGTTCATAATTGAACATGGTGGTCAACTCACCCAGCTTATCTGAGCCTTTCCCAGTTCAGCATTGAAAGTCCTGCTTTGTGGGAAATGCCCAAGACCTGGGCAAACCAGGATGCTTTCATTCTAACTGAATACCAATTCTTCAATTCAAAAGAACTTCAGAATAGTTAGGGAGTGTATGGTAAATATTCATTCTAGGTTTTAAAATTTCATAATTGGCTTTATCTTCATCTTTGTTTTCAAATGCATTATTTCTATCCAACTATCCATGTAATACATTTGTACTGCTAGCATTTATTTTCCCATTCTAAAAGAAAAGCAACCTATTTATTTATATTGAATGCTTTTACAAAAACCTAATTTAATTTGAAAGCACCCTTAATAACAAGAAAACACATTAACTTGGTATTAGAAAATAAAATGTAAACAATCCCAAAGATTATTAAATTAATATTCCCATTTGAGATCTGTATTTTAAAGGTTTATGGAATTTACATATTAATTTCAAAAGTGGATCTTTAGGGAAAAGATTTCTGTACCTAAGTACTATACAACAAGATTTTATATATGCCCAGGGTAATAGTTGATGTTTAGTATTAAAATAGTAACAAATATCATGATACTTATACTACTATAGTTCTTATATTTCAGAATCCTGAAATCTTAAGAAAGCTAAGTTAAATATGTCTTGTAAAGCATGTTCAACAAGTTTCACGAGATTGGTAAATGTCATGTAATGGCTACTTAATAAGATAAGCATGATTAAAATGAAGAGATGAAAAAGCATGAAGAGATGAGTACTATATTAATTGAAAAATATGTAAGCAATTTGGGTTATATCACACACATATTCATACACCTATACATACATATACACACATAAACAATGAAAACCAGTTGTATTAAAGACAATTTTTAGAAAAAAAAAAAAAAGATGTTACCTATTTAATACATGTATTAGCAAAAGCCTTAAAAACAATTTCTTAGCCGGGCTCAGTGGCTCAGCCTGTAATCCCAGCACTTTGGGAGGCTGAGGTGAGTGGATTGCCTGAGCTGGTGCGTTCGAGACCCGCCTGGGCAACTTGGCGAGATCTCATCTCTACAATAAATCAAAAAATCAGCCGGGCATGGTAGCGTGTGCCTGTAGTTTCGGCTACTTGGAAGGCTGAGGCAGAAGGATCGCTGGAGCCCAGCAGGTCAAGGTTGCGGTGGCCGGGCAATGCAGTGAGATTCCAACTCAAAGAAAAATAAATAAACAAATAAATAAAAATAATTTCTCAAGTTTTCACTTAGACTAGTAAAAATATGCAACACTCCAACAATAATAATTTTAAAGAATTTATGTAGCCAAGCCTAACTTTCTTCCTAAAATAGAACACACACACACACACACACACACACACACACACACACACACACACACACACAATAGCTGTGAAAAACTGAAGCATTCCTTCTAAGCTCACATAAATGATGAAATAGTCACTGCTACAAGCAGTACAAGTATTTGTAATATTGGGAACATTCTTCCACACAATGAGAAAAATATCTCATCTATTACTGTTTTTACCTAAAGGTGTAGGGAGAAGAGGAAGTGAAGTACCATATATATTCTTACCAGGGCTAAGGCCAAGTTCTCGCATTAAATCAGGATTACAAACACAGAACCTATGTGAAAACTTTGTTATAAGAGTTTCAAGATACTCCCCACGCTCCTCGGGGGCATGAATATGACGAAAAAATTCTCTCAGTGCATTTGGCAAGAATTGATTTCTAAAGTTATGCAATGTTACAAGGTCATCCAAGACATCTCTCCTACAGAAAGAAAAAAGGTACAGCTTTAGTCAACTTTTTGCTATTAAAAAAAGTGACAAGAAAAATAATAAATTCCCACTTTTTGGATTAAAATACTTTGTTATTGATTATCAGATCAACCAATCCTATATATGTATATATAATTCTTAAAATTAAAAAAAAGTGAGTATGATTCTTTAAGAAGTTAAACAATTTTGAAATCTTTCATGTATAGGTTAGGACTAAACAAAACAAGGTAAAGCCTAATAATTTGACATATAAAATGAAAAAAAGGGAATTTTGTAGTATTAAAATGGGCAGCTTCTTTTTTTGGCAGCTTCTTTTAAAGTGTCTTCTTGGCTAAATCCAAATAGCAATAGAATTGTTTTTTTAATTATGAAAGTAATGAGAATTTCCACCTATCATACCATTTTATCTCTCTATAGAAAGCAACTATTTATGTAGACTTTTAAAAAAAAATGCCTGTGTATACTGTGTATATATATTGTTTTAAAAGTTGCTTTTGCTTCCTTCTTCATTTTTAAAATGGCTACACAGTATCCTACCATATAGATGAAATAATTCTATTGATACACATTTAGATCATTTACTATTGAATAAATATTTGTGTATGTATGTGTGTATATATAAGTTTTTAAATCACTAGCATTCTAATATATAGGCACACTTTGTTACAATATCTTTCAGCTCTTACTGAACTCAGTCATAACTACATGATCATAATTTTCAATTTCTACCAATAACTTATGGCAGGAAGAGGTAACTACAGCAAGTGGGCCAAGTCTGGTCTGTTGACTGTTTTTGTAAATATGGTTTTATCAGAACATAGCCACACTAATTTGTTTACATATAGTCTATGTCTGCTTTCACAAAACAATGGCAGAGTTATAAGTAGCTGCGACAGAGATCATATGACCTACGAAGACTAAAGTATTTATAAAAATCCCTGGGGCCGGGCTCAGTGGCTCAGCCTGTAACCCCGCGCCTTTGGGAGGCTGAGGTGAGTGGATTGCCTGAGTCCGCGGGTTCGAGACTCGCCTGGGCAGCGAGACCTCATCTCTACAATAAATAAAAAAATCAGCCGGGCATGGTAGCGCATGCCTGTAAGTCCAGCTACTCGGAAGGCTGAGGCGGAAGGATCACTGGAGCCCAGCAGGTCGAGGCTGCGGTGGCCGGGAGCGGCCACTGCACTCCAGTCTGGGCGACAGAGTGAGACTCCAACTCAAAAAAAAAAAAAAAAATCCCTGGGTACTTGACACATAAAGACAAAAAGGGTCAATGATGTTATCTTTATATAAGAGATTTCTTTCAGTGACCATTATGCTGGACCGTAAACTCCTCAAAGACAGATAGTATATCTTAATCACTCATGGATTACTACTCTAGCAGTGTTTTTGGAATATAATGAATATCTGCAGATTGTTGTTGGAAAATCCTGGAGAAATATAAAAATTTGAGAATTACAGTGAAGATAAATATGTTTTGGAGTTATACATTAGATTAGTATAAGTTTATAATTTTGGAAATGGTAGCTCAGTGATGTCACATCAAAATATCCAATTATGTTTATGTCCACTAATAATCAAAATTAAAGAGTCCAAGTGAATGACTCTTCACTTGGAAGAGCATACTAGCCATCTCTTCTGTCTACGCAGAACATACTATTAAAAATCATGTATTCAGAATTTTCAAACTTGCACATGATATTTCTGCATAGTATCTATATGTAAATACATATTTTATATCACTAGTATTTGTGGGTTTATGACTACAATCTGTCTTTGTTTTCTATTTTTATATGGATAACTTCAGAATTCAGAACTTTTAGTTATCTAAACACTTAGATTGTGGGTAGATACTAAGAAAAATCAGGGCTGCAGTTTCTTAAAAAATATTTGGTTCTGGTTTGCTATTACAAAGATGTTTGGCTTCCATTTTGTGTGCATATGTGGACTTTTTTTACTTTTACAATGAAAACATCCTCATCAACAAGTTAAAGTTTACACACACACAAAAGATGTGTGAGATACAGGATAGTTTCCCTGTATTGTCTCTCAATTTTGCAACTAGATGATTACTATATAGTATTAGTTTTTAAAGTAAATTTAACGCATCAAAAGCATCACTTAACTCATTTTTGATGAAACAATTTATTTTTTTACCTTTCATCAAGATAGATTCTCAGTTTTTTCCAATTTAGTGTTCTTGTACAGAATATAAACTTTGCTATTTCCTTTGGAGAATCATCCAGGATACCCTTGGACATAAAGTAGTTCACTCCCTAAGACAGAAAAAGACAAGTCTACATAAATAAAATCACGCTTTATAAATTTTAACAATTAGGTAATAGCAGAACAATAGCTATACATTCTTTCCAGCATTAATAGACTTTTGTAGCTTTATCATGCAAAATACAAGCTAGGACTTGAACTGAAACTATAATTTGTGGTTGATAGTTTACATGCAATGAAAAGTAGGAAATTCAAAGTAAGACTCCTAAAGAAATCTTAATTTAATTTTCTGGCTCATGTCAGGTAAAACTAACTATACAGAAATATGGCCTAATTTGGGGGAGTGGGCTGTGGAAGAAACCACAGTACAGACTTTAAAATAAAGCCTTATAGCAAACACTTCCCCTGCCTAATAGAAAACATGATCTTTTAAAAGCTTAGATATATATGCAGTATACTTTTCAAGGAAATAGGTTCTTGAGAAAAAATAAAATCTTCCAAATGAAAGACTAACAATTTTATTCTGGAATAAAATAATTACAGTATTTAATTTGGAGTAAAGGAGGCTCTGCTCCTGGGGCTCCTGGCTAGTTTATAGATTGTACCACATTACTTTGGCTTTCAACATTGTTACATTCTACAAGAACTTAGCTATAACACACACAAAAGAAAAACATCGTTAAAACAATTTCATGTTTTTCAAAGGATTTATCTTTGAATTTCCTTTTCTCTGCATGCAAAGTTTTCCAGAGAAGCATTACTCATATGTTTGTACCTACTTTAGATTTAAATCACCAACGACTAAACATCAACAAAAAAAATCAAATGCTGAAACCAGTATTCGCTCAACGTATATGGAAGTCACATTCAAATAAATGTCTTAGTTGGATTTGAATGTGCAGTTATTGAAATCAAAGGCAGGTGTGTTTATTTCAACTTTGCAGTTATCCAGATACATGCATTCCCATGAATGCTTATGTCTGGATACTAGCACATTGTGTGCAGTTAATTGGTAGAGAAAATGACGTATTATAGACACACAACATACTGTTTTCACACATAAATTCCTTTGGCATTTCTTCACTTTACAAACACTTACATAGTACTCAGAAATATTGCACACATTAAGAATTTTAAAAGTTGGAAGAATTTCTATAAAAAACTCTTCAAGATAAAAATTTTCTCATAAAATTTTTCTATTAAAAATTTTTTAAAAGTAATCTGGTACCATGAGGTAATGCTTTTTAAAGGTTATAATTATCTGTAAATTGCAATTCAAAGATAAGACTTTTATGTAAAACTAACTTTACGAGCCATCAGGATAAGATCCTGATAGCAGTGTTATCAAGTGGATTTGAATAGTACAAAAACAATGCTACAGCACTGATTTTAAAAATGTACTTAAAGAAAAGCAGAGTGTGATAGCGTGAAAAGTTCTCGTCAACTCAGTTGTAACCCATATTTCAGACTGAATCCTGGCTACAGGGGCTAGACAATATACTATGATAAGATAGAAAGTCCAAAAATTTCTTTGGAATGAAGCTCTCAGCAAGTACCTGAGGGGGCAGGAACTAGAGAAATACCAATGCTTGTTCTATCCTTTCCTCCATTAGTTTGAATAATCGAGAGTTGACTGTATATTTAATTGACTTGCTCAGCAAAAGTTAAGTCAGGTCTAATTGTTTCCAAAATTCCTCAGTTTAAAAAAACAACATTTCAGAATTAGTGCTAGCATTCAATTTTAATCAAAGTGATTTAAAGACAAAGAAATATCAATTAATTATTATTTAATAGATTTTTAAATTCATACCTTAAATCAATATTTAAGAGATGTAAAACTAATACTAGTTTACTTTTTTAAGATTATGCAAATAAACCCAGTAATATACCCATTAAGTGATACATAATTCTCTATATGATATATGCCATTAAGTATCATTTGGTGCTAATTAGTTATAAATTAACACTGGTATTTGCCTCATGTAAGCATCATAAAAATACTATGTTGGTCATTTTCTCTTTTATGAAACACAATCTCATAGTAGTATGTGTGTACACAATTTTGTGTGTGTCCAATCCTGTAAATTGGGAAGATGGCTTGGAATAACCCAACTATGTTGGTTTTATGAGGAAAAGAGACCAGTTTCAAGCCTGGGAATCATCTGGAGAGGATATTACTTTAGAAGGGCTATCAAAGTGAATAGTAAGGGATGGCAAATAGAAAAAGAATAACTGTCTCTAATAAGCAAGTTGGGAATCATCTGAATCCTTATCTTTTTTATGTAACAAAGGAATACAAAGAAAAGAAAAACATAGCATGAGATCTGTTGAATAGCTACACATTTGTTCAATAAGTGGTATAGGCACTTTAAAAAATAAAGCTTTGGAAGAATGGTACGGAGAAATTCCTAGACCACATATTAGTGGTTAATCAGGACTTGTGTTCTCAGCAGTGTGGCTGTGCATGTGAGCACACGTCTGTGTGCCATCTCACAAGCAGAGAGTCATTAATAGATATAAATATAAACACGGTACTCTGAAAAGGAAGGCTGTTGTTCATAGACTCTACATAATTCACTATAAAAGTTTCCAATTTTGGATGTCATATTTTATGAGGCATATTGACAAATTAGAACTTATCTGGATAAATGAAATCAGGACCTAGGGAGATTGTAGAAAGGGGCAGAATTCATGTTATATAAGAAAGAGCTGAGCTAGGGGTATCAAGACAAAGAAGAAAACATTTAGAAAAGAAGAAAAGATGAAGAGTTTAAGACTTCTGAAAGGCTATATCACAAGGAAAAAAGAAAAATTCTCATGTATAGTTCTAGTGATGATCTTAAACTATTTTTTGGGTCACGGAACTCTTAAGTACAAGTAAAGCTACCAAACTTCTTCCAGATTAATGCACATGTACATTTTTAAAAACAGAAATTAAATGCCTAAAGCCTATGTACGGACTATAGGTTAGGAAGCCCTATTCTAGATGAGTGTAGGAGCTAGTCTATGGGTGTCAGTTACAGGAAGACAGCTCAGTGTCATATATGGAAGAGCCTACTTGCAGCTACAGCTGAGATGCCAGTAGTTTGTCATTCGCTTGTGCTTGATTCCATTTTTTAAAAAACATTTTCAAAATAAGCTTAGGCTTCAAACTTACTACTATTTTCTTTGACTGTTTATATAAATTTTAACTCCTTTATGCAAACTCTACTCTGTTCAACTTTCAGAATGATCTAAACAGTTGCAGTGACAATGCAGCTCCTATTTGAGTGTGGGGAGAAATCTAAGATGAATCACAGTGGCGTCCATCCTGTGATGGGCTGCCCCATGCACAAAGAGAAGCTCTTGTCAGGTGAAAGAAATGCTGGCTAAAGTATCTTTTTTTTTTTTGTTGGGACGAAGTCCCGCCAAGTTGCCTGGGCTGGTCTCAGACCCGCAGGTTCAGGCAATCCATTTGCCTTGGCCTCCCAAAGTGCTGGGATTACAGGCTGAGCCACCGAGCCCGGCCAATTAGGTTCAGTCCACTTTGTTTTCTATTATTTTATTCTGACTTTTTGTAGAGACGAGGTATCACCATGTTGTCCAGGTTGGTTTCAAACCCGTGGGCTCAGGCAATCCTCTTACCTCCGTCTCCCAAAATGCTGAGATTACAGGCATAAGCCACTGTGTCTGGCAAAATATCTTATTTAAAAAATAGTTTCGAAAGAAAGCTCCATTGGGGTAGATAAAATTCCTATCATGAAAATAAGCATTATACCTCATATTTCTTTGGAAAATGACAAATTGGTAAAGAATGCTCATGCTACAAATTATAAATTTCTTAGCAATATCTTTTAAAAAGTATTCATTTAACTTTATGTTTAGATATAAAGATGAATACCCGAAGACTGATTTATAAAATAGGTATATCTGTGCATGTTTATATATGTGTATATCTGCTTTAAAAGCTTTTTATAAACTTTAAATTAAAAATACATGGAAATTGTCTACACCTTCATTTAAAAATATATTAAACACAAGGTACTATATGCGAGGTATTCAGTAATAGACGCTGAGTAGTTTAAGACAAAGTTTTGCCCTAAGAAAATTTAAAGTTTATCTGTGGCAACAAGACACGTATATAAGTGACAAATCATGACAAATCAATGATATAAGGTAGTAGAAGAAGGCCTAAATGAATGGGTATGAAAAATAAGTATTTTGGTAGTTCAGTGAAATAAAAAGTCGTTATGGGACAGGATATTTAGATAAGGTTTCCTAGAAGAGATTAGAGTTTGAAGCAATGGAAGGGATTTAGATGCTCTGAATGAAGGGAACACGGGAGAAGAATGTTCTAGTTAGTATTGTATTGTATGAGCAAAAGTAAGATAAAACTTTTTTAAAAAGACTACTTTCAGGAAAGAGGGGCAACCATCTTGGGTTTGACAGTAAGTCTGAAAAACAGTGCTGAATTTTAGGGCAAGAAGTTTACTTTCCATCCTAGATGTGACTTGAGCCTCTGGAAGCTTCTTGACCTGATGAAGTAAAGGCCTGTAATGGGGGTTTAATAGTGACATGGAGAGAAATGATGGAAGAAAAGTGAGACAGTGGGCAACTGTAACTTTCCAGGGCTGAACACATGGAGAGGTTCTAGAAATGAAAAAGAATTCATATATTCTAAAAGCATTTAAAACATTCCACATGCTACATATGTGAAAATAACTTGATAATTATGCTGACCGTCAAGCCGAGGAACAATTAAAAGGAAAAGATAACTAAAGTTTCTGCCTTACATCAAGAAGGAAATGACTGACAAGAAATGATGGGAAAAAAAGGCTATAGATGGTGCTGACTTGAAAGGGACAGTTAGGAATTTGGTGTTAGAAATGGTGGATTTCAGCCGGGCTCGGTGGCTCAGCCTGTCATCCCGCGCCTTTGGGAGGCTGAGGTGAGTGGATGGCCCGAGCCTGTGGGTTCGAGACCCGCCTGGGCAGCGAGACCTCATCTCTACAATAAATCAAAAAAAAAAAAAAATCAGCCGGGCGTGGTAGCGCATACCTGTAATTCCAGC